TTCTAATGAGATCTAGTTGACTCTCCTGTTTGAAGAGTTTAATGCTTGCTCATATCCTCAGTATAGAGTACAAATTCCCTTCATGAAATTTCCTTCATCCAGGCTCAAACTTCCAGCCTTCTTTGTGATATTTTTATGACATTTTCTCCCTTTTCTTTTGAGACAGAGTCCCATTCTTTCACCCCGGGTACCCTAGGTGGAGTATCTTGGTGTCATCATTGCTCACCGCAACCTCAATTGGGGCTCAAATGATCCATTTGCTTCAGCCTCTGGAGTAGCTGGGACTATTGTGTGTGTACCCAGCACAATGCTTAGTTTTCTATTTGTAGTGGAGACAAAGTCTAACTCTTGTTCAAGATGGTCTGAAATCCCTACACTCAAGCTTTCAACCTGCCTTGGCCTCCCAGAATGCTAGGATTACAAGTGTGAGCCACTACACCCAGCTGTTTTGTCATTTTTGACCTATGCAGATGCTATTCCTCTGCTAAAATACTATGCTCCATCCCTTCACTCAGCAGCTTCAGCTCATCTGCACCTGTCAAGTTAGGCATTATTTTTCCCCATTTATCTTCTGTGAGGTTCCAGCCCCTTTTCATTCCTCTTGATTAAATTATGTTATCCTCTTACTTTCATCTTATTCTGTGTTTACCTTGGTTTTTACCAAACTGTCTACCAACTATAATGTAAGATTTTGAAATTAGGAACTGCATATTGTGTACCATGGTATCCCTAAATTTAACTAAATGCCTGCCCCATAGTGTACTTGCAAATATACCTTGTCTGAAATAAACAAAGAGAATGAAAAGAAGCGATACAGCATTACAAGGTTCAGATTGAAAGAATTCAACTTAGACCACAGTTTAAATTCACATTATTTTCCCCCTTATTTGTTAAAACAAGTAAGCAGCTCATTGGTATCTTTTTAATAATCAAATTAACATTACTTTTGAAAAATTTTTACATTTTAAGATCATTTATAATATATCTAACTTGGTATACATAGAGCATTCTAAAAATTGAATTTGTTTTAAATTCTAAGGACCATCAAGAAGACCATTAAAATGAGAACAGAAAGTAAAATTTTGGTTCCTAATGGGAAAATAATTAGTAGAGCTGATGTGCACATCTATCCCAAGGAGATGGATTACATGAGTGTTTACTATTCACCACACTCCAGAAATAAAGAGAACTGTTAGAATTCGAAACAAATAAATTTGGAACAATTAGAAGTACTAAGTTTTATAGGGAGAAAATTTATACATTACATTCCTCTAAGATAAAAAAGAAAAAGAAAAACTAGGCAGTGACTGAACAATCCTAGTGGCATTTTTTGCTGTAACTTCTAGGTAAGACAATAAGGTAGATTTAATTTTGACGTTAACCCTGTTATTAGCATTCTGTGAAATAGAATAAAACTCTTCCACACTGAATCCATGTCTGGTATAATAAAATATGCTCAGAAATGTGTTCCATGTAGTCTAAGGTTGGTTTATATCACTTCTCAGTGGATTTATATCTCTATCTACCTTAAACCACCTCAGGAATGATATGAAAGTAAATAATTAAAAATTATGTTTTCTTAAACTAAATTACAAAGTAATTGTAATTGTTTATATTAGTTTCATTGTTTATATTAGTCTGCTTGAGTCAGTGTCACTCTACTTAATTTTGCGGTTAAGCTGATGTCCTAAAGCTCCCCTGCTGACTCAGACGGGGCCTGCAGCTGAGCAGGAATCCTGGCAGGGGTTGCCCCGTACCTCTCTGCCACTGGCTCATGGGTTCAACATGGGCAGTGGTTCCTTACGGTGCTGGCTCCACACTGACCTGCACATCAACAGCTCTCCAGATACCAGGTTCATGCTGTACAGATACATAACGGGGCTCATGCATCCAAAGCCCACTCAGCCACCTGGGGAGAGATGCATTCATCTTACCTCGTCCTTCTGAGGGATCGGCTGACAATGTGATCTCATGGGACACCTTGATTCCTGACAGTTCCCAAGTTTTTAACATGCTTAATATTGTTAATGTTAAATGGAAATGTGAGATATTTACAAAGCACTATTTACTAATGATATTTTACTATCTAGTTTCATTTATTTTTCTATATAAATATATGATGCTTTCACACTATCAGTTAATTTGTGACCCCCTGTTTATGAATGGCAAATATATGACAAGTGTAGACTAGACTTTGGTATAATTTTCCAATGACAATTTTAATACTTAACATTTACTGTTTTTTTCTCAATGAAAGGGTTTATTTTTCAAGATAACTATGACTTAGAAAATCTGCAAATTCTATTTGCTGCAGCAATTAATTTCCAGTTTCTGAGTTAAAACTGTTTTCAGAAGAGATCTATTGTGAATCTTTTTGAATTTTGAAAATCAAAAAGAAGCAATTTTCTCTTTCATTATTAGCACTGAAACTCAGACTACCTGAATTTTTTTTTTAAAAATGACTGAATGTCTTTGTTAAAAGTCTAATGAAAATATTACTGGAGTTTCTGAAATTTTAGCAGATATGCGAATCTGTTTAAAACAACATTGCAAATTTGACAAAGCCTTTTATATATTCCTCACAATTTTAAATAACAAATCACTCTTTGTCTAATGTTTCAGAAATTATATTTATGTGTACACACATTAATATGCCATTTTAAACATACAATTAACATTTCAAGATATCTCTGAGATTTTTATTACACTGGCAAAGAAATTATTCCACAGCTATGCAGCCTTGTGAGAAATTGTTTACTCAGCACTTTTTGTATTCTGTCAATGAACAAAAAATTATAGGACTTTGAAATTCTTACCAGTGTAAATTTCATTGCAGAATAGGTTTATCAGTACATTGTAAACACATCTACAAAAAATGTGACTTTAGGTTTGGGCAATAGTCAGTTGATGATCTATTATTATACAATGGCATTTCTTAAAAAAATTATACTATTTATACTATTTATACTATTTTTTAATAGTATAAAATTGGAAATAGATTTAGACTATGTGTAACTCAAACTTCTAGTTTTCTAATAAAGAAGCAAAAACAATAGTTTCATTCAAAGCTTTATTCTCAAATGAATGAAGTAATCCTGGATACGACTGTCATTTCATCTTCCTACTTAGACTTCATTATATAATCTTCATAGAGGCTAAAGGAAATGGCTTTATTACATAACTCCTGGCATTATGCTCCAGATAGTGCTTTAATGATGGGAGACACTAAATTAATGTGTATTAATGAACATTGAAATTCCCTAAGCCCTGATGTACGCTGACATTTTAATGATGTTTTCCAAGCTACAAAAAGTAAAATAAACACAATTATTGAACTTCAGACATTGTTAGCAGCAGTGTGAAATAACCCGTTGTCATGGTAAGGGAAGGGCAAGAATGAGCTCCTACCTTCTTTACAATATTATAAGCGTGTTTAAAGAAAAAGCAATTTCTATCATTTACCAGTTTATCTACACACACACACACACACACACACATAAACCTAATGCCTCTTCACTTTCATTTATTGAGAATGAAGTTGAAGTTTGTCTTCACCAGTTTTTCTTTCTGTGAACCTCTTTTTCCCTGAAAAAGGGTTCTCTCAACAACGAGGCTATATGCCCGCTCAATATCTTATGTTTGGAAACGTGCTTTCTTTGAAGATATGATAAACTAATCTATTACAACATGTAGATAGTGGATAAGATTTTTATCATTACCTGTAGAAGAGAAGGTTTTGTTTTACTTTGAATAAGGAATGGATCCTTTTATCACCACTTAACCTTTAACGGGAGAATTCTTTCAGAAATCAATGAACAGATGAATGAAGGATTTTGAAGGAAATAGATTTACTATTCTGATATAAGTTGAAGGCAGCAGGGTGAAATTACATCACATAAGCAGTCACCTACGATACGTAAGTATAAGGCTAGCCATAAATCCTGCCAATAGAGGTACTGTCTGGGTTAACTTATATTTCCTCTTGCCTTATGCTGTAATATAATATGTTCAGGGGATACATGAACTTATAAGTAGCTATATAAAGTCAATATATTTTTATAACAAATTCAGAGGATAAAAGTAAAAGGCAAAAAAGGACTACGCTATGTTGTTTAACCTACTTTGGGAGCAAATCTATGAAGATTAGACAACATTAGGAGACACGTGAGAGTAAGACAGAGAGAAAGAGCTACAATGCAAAGTTTTCTCTCAACGCCTCCCTGGCATTTTCACAGAATCATGTTTGTCCCCTAGATGCCCATATGAAGTATCGCTAAAAATTGATCACTCTGGATTCTTTATGTCCCTCATTGAATTCAACTGTACTAAACAAAAAGAAAATAATGAGAAAATGAATGCACTATTTGTTGATATAAATTGGATGTCTTACTACTTTATATATTCTTTGAATTCATGCTTGTATCTCAAACATGAAGTCATAGAAATATCATCTTTGTCAATGTTTTCTGAAATCAGGTATCATAGATAAGCCTAAGATCTTCCAATAACAGACCATCAGTCTCTTCTAACTGCTTAAAAATGATAACCCTTAAAAACTTTAGAACTCTGCCTCTAATATTCTGGAAGCCTTCTGGGTTAGATAAGAAAGAAACAACAATATCAAGAATCAATGCTATTTACAACATGGGCATAATTTTTCACGGTAACGAGACAATATATTGCTACCTGAATGCGACCTTTATATTTAGAATGAAAAACTTTCAAGTTAGCGTCGTCTATTAATAGAACATAAATTACAGAAGATTCTCTAATGAAGCTTTTACTTCTATTTTTAGTGCCAATAATTGAAGATAAATTTTATGAGTTGTTAAAATTGCTTAAAACACCAGAGCACACCTCAAAGCAATTTGTCACTTTCATTTATTACAACCTAAAAAATACCCTTATATGACTAATAATATACAAGCAATTGCCTGATGATGTCGTGTGTACACAATTCAATTCATCAACAGTTAAATTTAATGAAGGATCTAACTTACCGGTGGATCAGCCCCCTTAGAACCAGTCAGCCCTCCTGTTAGGGATTCGATATCCTGAAAAGGGGAGAGGTGTTGATTGTAAAATGCTACTCAACAGCATGGAGAATACCCCAGTCCCACAATGTAGTAATTTATTCTGATGCAGTTAGCACACATTAGCTACTTCATTTATTCATTTTTTTACCATCTCGGACACTGGTAGCACTATACAAATAGTTCTGTATGCAAAGAGCTAGATATTCTCTCCAACTCAGTACAGTCTATAAAAAGAAAAAAATATATGTAAACAGAATAATTATTCTTGAACTTTCCAAAGAAAACAGCTCTAGACAGGAAAGCAAATGTTTCATCTTTAGAGAAGCAAAGTGAGGGCAGAAGGGAAAAGAGAGAACGTAAGAAACTGCAATTTCACACGTTGTTTAAAATTTAACCCCGTGGAAAATGTTTGGTCTGCAAAATTTTGAAAAATCTGTGTTTTCACTTTTTATAGCTACAAAACGTTGCACATATTTATGGGGTACATGTGCATTTCGATACAGGCATACAATGTGTAATAATCAAATCAGAGTAATTGACATAGCCATCACTTCAAACTTTAACATTCATGTGTGTTGGGAGCATTCTAAATCCACTCTTCTAGCTATTTTGAAATATACTATAAATTATTCTTAACTGTAGTCAACCCATTGAGCTCCTTAACATTAGATACTATTATTTATTTAATATTTGAGACACAGTCTCACTCTTGCTGCCCTCCGTAACAGTGCAATGGCATCATTGCAGCTCACTGCAACTTCAAGTAGCCCTTCCTGGGCCAGCAATCTTCCTGCCTTAGCCTCTGAGCCACACCTAATTATTTTTTCTATTCTTGGTAGAGACAAAGTCTTGCTCTTGCTCAGGCAGGTCTCAGATCCCTCACCTGAGCTGATGGTCCTCCCTCAGCCTCCCCGAGTGCCGGGGTTACATGCATGAGCAACACCCACCCTAGTTCTCATTCTTTCTAACTATATTACTGGACCATTAACCAAGCCTTCTTTATCCTCCCTCCTTAGGACCCTTCCAGCTTCTAGCAACCACTATTTCAGTCAGTCTTTTCATGTAATCAATGATTTTTAGTGAGTGGGGAGGGGTCTGCGCCTGGTTTATTTCATTTACTATAAAGTCCTCCAGTTCCATCCATGTTGTTGCCATTTTTTTTTTTTTTAACAATTACATCTATGGTCCACTCTATTCCTATAGAAGATAAAAACACAAAGATCTAGGTATATATTAGCTACTCTTTTGCAGAGATCAATTTCTAACTTTTAAAAAAGTTTCAGATTAACTTGAGGGTGCAAACAATTAGGTTATATATTTGCATTTGTCAGCCAAAGTCCGAGGTGCAGTTGAGCCCTTCCTGGGGGGGGGGGGCGGAGGTATGCTGTACACTCTCACACTGTGCCCTTTAGGTGAGAGCACACCAATCTCCTCCATCCTGGCCTATCCCCTCTTCCTTTTTACCCCCCTACACCCTTGGAGTTAAGTGTGTTTTATTTCTTGTGGACATGTGATTGTTTTTCTACTGCTTACACATTAGTATTAAGTACATTGGATACTGGGACAGTCATCCTAGTAAAGTGTCACAAAAGTAGATTTGTAACTTTGGCTCAGTAAAGAAGGTCACGCCTGAGTATTGATTAGAGTTGTCAGAGTTTTCGTAAATGGAGAAATGGTGCTGCTGTGATAAGCTTCTGAGGCCGTGACCTGTTTATAGGGACAACCACAACTCAGCCCTATCAGCTTCAGGTTCCAGGGTTACCAATCGTATGACTTTTTCAAAAGAAGCTGAATGCAGGTGTTACAATAAAATAACCTAGGTTTTTAATGTTTGCAGCCAATTCAATTTTTAAGCTGTTGTCCGTCCTTCCTGAATGGAAAAAAAATAAAGTTCAAAGGCCAAAGGCCACTGGATAGAACTTTGGGCTACATGAAAGAATTACATATATATATATTTTCCTACAAAGGTTCTTTATGACCGTGATCACTTCTCATTTGTTTGCATCTAGTTAAAGGAATTGGGATGAAGAATTGAGGTATGTAGTTGGAATAAGGAAGGAAAAAAGAAAGATAATTGAGTTGATATTTACATAAAAGAAAATGAAACGTCTATGATTAGGGAAACAGCCAGTACATTTGCATCATTAAGAGGATTTATGCTGCTAATTGACTTGGAACTTAATTACATCATTTCCCCCTGGTATTTAAAACATGAGGAAACTTAACTATACAACATAGGGCTGAGGTGAGCATGTGATGGAAACATTAAAGGAAGGAGAGAAAAAAAAATGAAGGAAGGAGAGAGGAAGAAATGGTGTTCTGAATGTTTCCATGTGAAGACGCTGACTTTGGAAAGGCAACTCAATGGATGACGAATTTCTTCATGTCCATTCTATTAAAGAATTAAAGATTCTAAATGATAAGGTAGTCACAAGAAATACTTGGCCAAGTCAGTATTAAGTTGCCAACTCTCATGGATATTTTATATATAAGGTGTAAAGTTCAAGTGCAATTTACTAGGTTAAACTAGTTTAAATTGCACACAAACTTTAAGGCCACCGTGTGTGTGTGTGTGTGTGTGTGTAATTTTCCCCTATTCAACATACTTTTGAGGAACTATCTCTTCTCCTCCCCCATTTTAGCTCTAGAAAGGGCTTATAAAAATTTCTTCAAATATTATAGAAGTCTACCAGAGAACTAAGGCACTATAAAATTTGGGAGATAAACAGCAGAGTTTAAGACCGTGATTCTATCAATAGAGGACTCTTTGAAACTGGGTATTCTCTCTGGCTACATTTCAGTTTAAGATAGGTTTTTGGTTCTCAAGACCCAAAGTATCCTAAATAATGTATGTGAATAGTTAGGTCTATTTGTAAAAGGCCTTTCCTCTCCATCCTGTTGGAATTCTTAATTTTCACACCAGGCATAGCATAAAGAAGAAAATCAACTACATTATTTGACCTTCCATGTTCTTTAACATTTCCATTAAGTCATCTAATTAAACGATGTCCCTGTATAATAAAAACGAAGCATGAAACATAGTTGTAAATTGACCAAGAAAGTTAATATACCTATTGAATCCAAACCCAAAAAATAATTTTGAAAAATTGCTTTAGAATTTTATAGAACGAGCAGACAACATCAGGTAGTAATATGGTTAAAATAGATCAATAGAATATAAAACACACAGCTCACTGCATTGTTTGATAACACTCCTGTTATGACCATAGCAAAAACAAGGTTCTGTTTATATCAGATGTTATTTCTAGTTGCATGTGTAATGAAAGAAAATCTTAAGTATATTTGGGCTTGAGCATGCTTTTGTTCATAGAGAGGCATATAAATTATATTAATAATAGAATTATTCATGCAGCAATTAGAGAGAGAATAAATGATTCAGATAAAAAGCATTTTAGCAATTTAGTGGATACATTTTATCATATTTTTTAAAGTTTTTATCAAAGATTTGTTTTGCTATCATAGATTTGTTTTGCTATCATAGATAAGTTGTGTCAATTTTCAGATTTTTTTAAACTTTAAGCTTTTTCTGATAGTCCTGGTCTTGGGGAAAATATTGCAAAAGAAGAATTTAGAAAATGAGTAAGAAAGGCACGAATATTTGCAGTTGTGAACACATGTTGAATTCAGAGCAAATGATGAATTCGTGGCTCTGAAGAGTATACAGATGTACGCTCTTACCCCCTTTATTCATTCAATTGTAAAACATTTTTTTAGCTCATGTGCTACTGTGAGTATACATTGGAAAAAAGTGTCCCACTGGGACAGAGGTCCAATTTAAACATGGCTTATCACTTGATGAAACGAGAATTTTTTCAGGTGTGAATAATGAACAGACGTGTGCATGAACGTATTCAGGTTGTAACGCTAATGAGTAAAATTAATAACTCCTTTAAGTTAATGAACATATGCATCTCATAAATGATAGTTAAAAGTGGGCCAATTGCTTTGACAGTTCTTGAACAGCTTACCTACCCAACAGAAGTCAAATCTGGTACTTAAATGTGTTTGCATACAGATTCCAACAAAGGGGGACCTCAAATAGCAAAAACATTTTGATTTTCCACCAACTATTTAAACTTACTACTGTAATACTGTTATTGTTTTACTAAAACATTCAGAAACGACTTCTAGGCTACAGAGATTTATTCCAGCACATTGTCACCATGTGTAGACCGTCATTTAGATCTAAGGGCTCATAAGGCAGCTACTACTGCCCATTTACTATCTGCCGTTCCCCCTTTAAGTGCTGTATATGCCTTAACCCTGTAGTAGCCTCTACGTTCTTATTTCATTCTCTCAAGTAGTTGGACAGTTTATATAAATTACACAGTATCATGCAGCTGGTCAGAAATGGGGTGAGAAAGCAGGAGGAATATGAACCTGTGTTTCCTTAATACCTGTATTAGGAAGAAAGCTTCACCCTGGTGAAGTGACCTTGCACTTGTTCACACGGGCCACACAGGCTAAACCACAGCTAGCCCGTCCTGGTGGACATTCTGTGAGCCTCCAGAACACGGCCAGGTAGGCAGGCGTAGGAGGAGAAGTCACATGGCTGTTTTTCATTTGCTTCCCCCACCCCCCAGCCCTAGTGGGGTTTAGCAACTTCCACTTCACGCCTCCCACCCTGCGTCCATCTAGGCTATAAGGACCACACAGATGCAACGCGGAACTGGGTCCTCCCTGACAGGAAGTCCTCTGCTCTTTTTGCCCATCATCTGGTCCGTCCAGTTTAGTGTGGTCCAATAGGACTGGGAACTGAGGCCAGAATCAGAGGAAAGTAAGGTGCCTACGGTGCAAAATGTATGGAGCCACTCATTCTGAGGGTCACAGGAGGGAGGACTTTAAACACGATCCCAAGAGTTTATGCCTTCTTAAATTTTGTGCCCTCAGCACCTCACTTACCTTGTCCAAGTGCTGGCCCTTCAAGAGACTCGGGGAGCTGAACCTACTGTGCCCATCCTTATTCTTATTGTGTGTGTGGTATACTACAAATCCTT